CGCTGAACATTAAAAAGTGTTAATATGTTTATAGAAAAACAATAAAAACGACTCAAAAATCTTGTTTTAAATACGGAATAAATATTTCTTATCCTTTTAACAAATTTTGGCCGTTTTTTGTATTTTTGGATTGAAATAACAGTTAGGATATAAAATTTAATAAAGTTTCACATTCACTGAACATGAGAGACATAAGAATAAGTTTTCACATATAACCATACAATACAGTAATACATTTTATTTGAATTTTAAAATTCTATCACACGGTTGAGTGAATTTGAATTTTAAATCAATTGAACACATTTTTCATTTAATTCCATACTTGTTACTATACTTGTCATTATAGCTCATAAATCAGTGCATATTCAGTGATTTATGAATAGCAATATTTGTAAATTAAATTTTGAAAATAATTTAAACATTTCATGCAATTGTGAAATGCCTTATGTATTAGTAATAAAATTCGATTGGCATTCATATTTATATTACTATTTAGCAATGTTTTGATTTGGTTTCACTGGAAATCATACTTAAAGCAGGGATTAATAATTTATATTTAGGGAACAATAATGAGCTTATATTGAATCTAAAAATATATCAAATGTTTACATAAGAGTCGTTATAATATTGAGTTAATACAGAAATGTGAGAGTTTTGCAGAATTGAGTTACAATTAGTACTGATATTGCAATCCGTAATACAATACCTATTAAATACAATACACTTACGATTCTGTAGGCCATAGGGCGCTGACCGTCTACTGCACGTATGGCTTCCAAATGCCCACTACTTATCGCCGCAGAGGACACCATAAGAGACATAAACACCACAAAAATGGCAATAAGACTAAGAAAGATGACGATGAAGACCAGAATGCTACTGATGAGAACTCACGACACATTAATCCGGGTATATTACACTATAAAGTGTCAGGCTCAGGTCTCAAATAATTGTCACTCAAATCAATCAAAGCCGAAAGAGTTCAGTTCATACTGGGAGAGGATGACATGGATGGCGCTCACGAATCCCATCCACTGTTCAGCGAATTAGAAGAACTCTGTATTAATGGGGAAGACGTGGAATGGCGAGAAACAGCCAGGTCTTCATTTTTGCCTACTTTTCATATTAGTGTTCATAGAATTTAACAAATATATGACAAACAGATGGATAAAATTCGAAGAGGATGTGGAGGAAGGGGGTGATCGGTGGTCGAAGCCACACGTGGCCACCATTTCACTTCATTCCCTGTTTGAACTCCGGAGTTGTATCCTTAACGGCACCGTTATGTTAGATTTAGAGGGAAGCAGTTTAGACCAAATCGCAGGTATTATAATCACATTTGTAAGTAAGCGTTCATTTTTGAATAACTCGTTTTTATGGGGCAATAGATTTAGTTCTGGAAAATATGGTAAATTGCGGACAACTGTCGATTGATATAAAAAATAAAGTAAAGGAAGCATTACTTAGAAGACATCGACACCAACACGAAAAAAGACACGACAAGAATGAAAGCAAAAACAGACTTCCATTGATTAGATCTCTTGCAGATATCGGTCGCAATTCCAGTAAAAGTATGTTCGGCTCTCATAGTAAGTGTATTGACACACTTTCCCAATTATTTCACAATTGAAATCAAGTTTTTCAAACAATTCAACACCAAGTTGAAAAGTACTAAAAATGTTGCAAACCTTAGATCTGTTGGACAAAGAGTGTGGCGATAATTCCTCGCCACCATCTGAGTGGAACCCTTTCAGAAAGTTTTCATTTCAGAGTACTTTAGGAATAAATTTGGATAAATCAGGTGTTTGTCAGACAATATGTTTTAGAGTAGATATTGAATGGATTAGAGACCAAACCGTTACTAATATTCATTAAAAAAAACTTTAGACAATATTCACAGGAATGCCGATTGATTTTGAACTAACACTGGAGTTGTGAAAAAGCAATTGTTTTAATGATTTCATTTCCTCTCATTTAAATCACAAATAATCCTCTCATTTGAATGAAATAATATAATATTCTTAAAATTCATAAATGAAAACATATCTAATGAATAATGCATACCATTAATAGCGGGCAATAATCACGAGGGAATGCCAAACAGTCCAAGCGTTACATCCCTACACCTTCACGCCAACAATCAGTCGCAAACCGCCAACTCTGCCTCTACGGGACAGTTAAATAATGATCTGAACGCCAGTTCCAGTTCTGATCTGCAGCACAAAGTACTATAGAGTTTAATGAAATAAATGACAAAATACTGAATGAGACAATACTTGAATGCAATGACAGCTCAATCAGGCATTTATGCGCAAAATACCCCCCGGGTCTGAAGCCGACAATATTCTTGTGGGAGAAATCGATTTCCTCGAGCACTCCATATCGGGATTCGTTCGCCTCAATCAAGCCTGTCATTTAGGAGACCTCACTGAAGTACCGGTGCCCACCAGGTTTCTATTCATACTACTTGGACCGCACAGGTATTGTCCGAGTTATTCGCAGTTTGCAATTTCTTACAATCAATTTGAAAATTATTTAACAAATTTAGATAAAGAGTTAATATGATACCTATAAATTTGTAAGCATTTCATTATTCACTAAACCTTATGAGAAATTATTCGAGAAAAATACTCTTTATAAATTAAATTGTATTTTTAGATTCAGTGTCTGTCACTGGCATATCAGGGACAATAATTTATGGTTTCTGTTTAGTCAACCATTAGGTCAATATACTATTAAAATTCAGATTCATCAGTGACAGGTGCTGTTCAATGAGTGTTATATTAAATTAAAGCAAACATTTAACTTGAAATAGCATTCCGGGCCGGTATCACGAAGTTGGCCGAGCTATGGCTACTTTAATGTCAGACGAGGTATTCTATATAATGAATATCAATTCAAAGCCCGTATTAAGAGATTATGAATTGACTGAAGGTTTTCCATGACGTCGCCTATAAAGCAAAGAGTAGGGAAGACTTGTTGGCCGGAGTCGACGAGTTCTTAGACGCTGTGGTAAACAATTTAAATCTTAAACTATACATCAGACCAGTGCTTAACAAATTTAACTTTTATGGCAACTGTGAAGACAATTCTGCCTCCCGGTGCTTGGGATCCCAGCATTAGGATAGAGCCGCCAAATCAGATGCCGTCACAGGAGGCGCGCAAAAAGCACGACAAGACGGAGGAAGTGAAGGAGGAGTCCGAAGACGAGGAAGAGAGGGAACGAGTGAATAACGGCCTGACGAGGTCGGGGAGGTATGGGTCGCGTAGGGATATGGGAATGGGATTGAGTGCCCAAATCCTTAAATGACTAAATGCTTGAAATTTGTAGATTATTTGGCGGTCTTATAAACGACGTGAAACGCAAACTTCCCTGGTATTTGTCTGACTTCAGGGATGCCTTAGTCCTACAATCAATCGCATCAATATTTTTCTTATACTTCGCGTGTTTGACACCAATTATAACATTTGGAGGTCTGTTGGGAGAGGCGACTGGAAATAATATTGTAAGCGATTGATTGAAACACACAAAAAACATGCCAAACACTCAACCAAATTAGGCTTTAATCCACTGAACATATTGTTTAACAACCAATTGTTTGAATCAAATAAGGCAACGATGGAAAGTTTGATGAGTGGTTTGGTTTGTGGATTACTTTACGGATTTTTTAGTGGACAACCGCTCACTGTATTGGGAAGCACTGGTCCGGTGCTTATATTCGAGACAATTCTTTATGATTTTTGCAAGTAATGTGAATTTAGTGTGATTATCATTGCCATCAATATAACCGCAATCGTTGTTACATTTTCACTTAGAAATCAAGATTTTAATTATCTAAATATCCGTTTATGGATCGGCCTATGGGTATCCCTGATCCTGATGATTATGGTGGCCATAGACGCCAGTTATCTCGTCTCTTATATAACCCGTTTTACGGAAGAAAATTTCGCAACTCTTATAAGCGTTATATTCATCTATAAAGCCATAGACAACGTAAGAATGATTTGCATGTGAGTGACAAATACAGACTACAACTCAATGTTTGATTGATTCCCAAAAAAGCTCTACGAAATCAGCAAAGTGTACCCAATAGATAAGCACCCGGACATGATTCACAACTACACCTGCTTTTGTTCATTTGAGGACCACTACGAAGACTACATCATCCAAACCGATAGACGCGTCGACGACGGACTCAAGAACTGCACAATTTCTGGCGGAAAACTCGAGGGATACGGCTGTGAGACCCCGAACTATGTTTCCGATGTCTTCCTGTTGTCTGTCATCCTCTTCGCGTCCACGTATGTCATCTCACTTTTGCTTAAAGAGTTCAAGACCTCCACATTCTTCCCGACAAAACTTCGCCAAATTGTTAGCGACTTTGCGGTCCCCATAGCCATCGCTTCAATGACTTTAGTGGACATGTTTTTTGCCATAAGTACCCCCAAACTCTACGTCCCATCCGAATTCAAAGTAATTACTTACCAATACATCGCTGTCCCCATACAATGCTCACCCATTTGTTTGCCATCAGCCCACTCGCAATGACAGGGGTTGGGTGATTCCCCTCACCCACGAGAAGAATCCCTGGTATATCCTGGCTCTGACCTGGTTGCCAGCACTGTTGGCAACGATTCTCATTTTCATGGATCAACAAATCACTGCAGTTATAATCAACCGAAAGGAATATAAGCTCAAAGTATAACACAATTCTAACACTTAGTTATTATCCGTATTTTATATTTTATATTGTTTTCAACACAAACGCCAAACCAGAAAGGCGGTGGCTATCACTTGGATCTGTTCATACTGTCCATATTGATGGCAATATGCTCTGTGATGGGATTACCCTGGTTCGTTGCGGCCACTGTGCTGTCGATGACTCACGTGAACTCCTTGAAAATGGAGTCCGAGTGCTCGGCTCCGGGAGAGAAACCCCAGTTCTTAGGCGTACGGGAACAACGAGTCACCCATATATGCATTTTCACATTAATCGGACTCTCAGTCCTCTTCACGCCAGTACTACAACGGATTCCAATGCCCGTCCTCTTCGGTGTTTTCTTCTATATGGGAACGTCTTCTCTAAAAGGATCACAAGTAATGCTCACTTCAATCATGGCTCAATGGATATCTCTTTAAACATTATCTCTTTTTCTCTACAGTTCTTCGACCGCATTCTCATAATGTTTATGCCACAGAAGTATCAGCCAGACTACATGTTCCTCAGACACGTGCCCACCATTAAAGTCCATGTCTTTACATTAATACAATTGGCGTGTTTTGTGCTCTTATGGTGTATAAAGTCAACGAAATCCACATCAATTGCATTCCCTCTTATGGTAAGTCATACCCATCAGCACTGCTTTGTTAATATGCAAAACTAAACGCCCGTTCAATCGGTTCCCCAATAGCTGGTGGTTATAATATTCATCAGAAAACTGTTGGACCTATTCTTCACGAGAAATGAACTCAAACTGTTGGACGACGTGATGCCGGAACACACGAAACGCAAACGTGAAGAGGAGAAGATGGTGAAGGCGGAGGAGGAGATGATGGGCGGAGGGCTCATACCGAACGCCAGCTCCGGGAATGTAGCCATTCCTTTGGCCAACGGAAACATATTGAAGATTCCGATGGAGAAGTTCAGCTCAGATGATGACAAGCCCTGTGCCATAAACATAACGGAACAGTTGGCCAAAAGCGGCGCCTGGAAGTCAATCGACCAAAGCATACAAAAGATGGATAAAAGCCGTAATAATAAGTCAAACAACGGGTAAGCATTCACTCATATCTCTCGTAATAGCCATTAGTTTTTGTCTGAAAACAAACATTTGGTTTGAATGAAAATTAAAGAAATAATAAGAAGAGAGGAAATAAGAAGGACTGCAAGACTGAGGAGGAGCTGAAGAGACTGTCGACTATGAGGGAAGAGGACGACGAGGAGGACTGCGGGATAACCATTCGAGTGGACGCCCCGACACCCGTGCCATCGACTGTGGCCTCAAATCATAATTCACCAAAAGATGAACGAAACGAGACTTCTGTATGAATTGATACCATTATTCATGACAACAGTTATTATTGTATTTTTGTTTAATATAATCAATAGTTAGGCCAACAATACGACAAACAAATAGCGTTTTAATATATGAATTAAAAATAGTAATTAATAAATTATAATTTAATTAAAATAATTTTCAAAACGAAAAAACTTTTTTAAATTAATTCAAGAAATGATTTCTCATTATATTTAGATATTTCTCTAATATGTGATAGAAATAAGAAATCAATTCAAAACATAATTTCTTAGTAAATGAGTTAAACTTTTCAAACAGAAAACACTTAATAATAACTATAATTAATAAATGCATTTCAATGAAGACTAAACCATAGTTTCAATTCAATTAAGAAATCAAATGTCAAACAAACAAACCTCTCATTAAAAATCAAGTAATCCGTGGATTCAATGGCTATATCCCTATCCAAGACATTCACTTCAATCTATTCATCGACTTCTGTCTCAGAAATCTATAATAAGTTAATTCAATAGTAAATTAAATTAATTAAATAGTTAATACCAATCATTTAATAGTATATTATTATAATTATGTATTACAGTACAATATAATTAGAAATACAATACAATTGTATTTAAATACCGGTATATTATTATTATTAGCAGTCTCATTTTCATATATTATTTGATTAATCATGACTTTAATTGCTATGAAATCTACTAATGAACTGATTGAATGCTAAATGAATTGATGGTCAAATGCACTCAAATACTAGGTTTCAACTGAAAATGTTTTTTAATTTAATTCATAAAATTCAATTCAAATGTAAAACAAAAAACTTTAAATCATTGAAAGGAGCGCTCAATAAAATTGTTTTCATTGTATTAAATGTATATTAATTCAAATTCAGTCAAAGTAATCAAAACTAGAATTTGGAAAAGTGCCCCCTTTTGCCCCCTCTAATGTATATATCACCCATAGATGGCATAGGGGTTCCGTAGGCATACAACTCAACATTGAAAACTTTGCATTGATTTCATCATTCATTGAATGCAGTACTGAAAGGCAGACATTTACCACATATTTCATTGAATTACACGATTGACGCCAATTCACACATTCATACCATCTATGGATCGTATGGTGACGTAAGCCTACCTATGAGTGCCTAACCGTGTGTTCAATGTGTGAATCCAATGCATGTTTTCACCAGAATTTCGTATTTTGTTTTCAATTGTTTTTGATTTGAAATTAAATCCAAACTTTAAATCAATGGTAAGAAATGTGTGAATATTTGTATTCAAAGATTATAACTAATGATTGAATGGTTTAGTCGACTGTAGTCACCGCTGGACTCGCGTTGGCTGTCCTCGGCTTCGGAGGTAAGTGTCATTCAATGAGTTGTGATTTAGTGACAATTGTTTGTCATTTAATGCCAATTCATATAATTTGTTAAATGACTAGAAATTAGTGTTAATTTTAATGAATGTATGGTTTGATTGACTGAAAGGACGGGCGTTATTGAGACGATCGAAAGGATTGGGCGAAGCCTTTGCCAAATCGTTGCCAAATACCGGTGTAAGTGACGAACTGATCCATTATGTGATGTATGGTTAGAGTTAACCACAGATGTATTGTCTGCAGTCCTTTGCCAGCAGTAAGTACTATAAGGGAGGCTTTGATCCCAAAATGAGTCGTCGAGAGGCAGGTCTTGTGCTGGGAATCAGTCCATCGGCTAATAAAGTGAAGGTGAAAGAGGCCCACAAGAGGATTATGCTTCTCAACCATCCCGACAGAGGTATCAACACATCCATTGATTGTCTTATAATGCGGTTAATGTTTAACTCGATGTCTGTTTGTGTGTCTTCAGGCGGTTCCCCATATTTGGCGGCGAAGATCAATGAAGCCAAAGATCTGCTCGAATCCAATAGATCCGCCTCTAAATAGATTGCAGTGTTTGACAATGAATTCAATTGTAAATATAGTATAGTTTTATCAAATTTACAACAAATATATTTTGTAGTTTTAATTTTCAAATAAATTATTTGTTAATTACTGATCCCATTGGACGCTAATTAATGCTAAGATTCGCCCCATTTGTTGCTATAGTGAACAACATTTAAGTGAAGTGTACCGTAATATTATATTCTGCATATTTGTCGTACAAATTGTGAAATATTAATAACTATAGTGTTATTGAAGTCACCATAAAGTGGTGTAATTTTATTGGAATGTGATTACAAGGATTACAATGCACTGCACACTACCTGTGAGTTACTTTTAATGTCAAATAGTATTTTCTTTTACTACAAGAATATTAATTTGATATCATATGATAACTAATTTAATGTTATAATATCACAATAGAGATTACCTTAATATAAAAGGCAAATATTAATAATATATCGATGTTATCTAAAGTGTATTTACGGTAATGCTAATACTTTATAAACAATAATACCAACTTTTATTGGAAATTGAATATTTATTCAAAAACCTGATTTCTATTACAATACCTGCTGTTATGGTTGAACTTACGATAGAAATCTGGTTTTAGGATCCAATATACGGCAGTTTTATATTATAAGAAATATTTGTCTCTATGATTCATAACCCACAGTATGTATTAAAATTTAATAATTAAATCGACTTAATAGTGTAGAAAAATGATGACTTATTTTTAGAAATTAATTATAATAAAAAATATAATAGCCTATCTATAAATCAACTCAATGTTCAGTGCATTTAATTTTAAATAGCCCATAAAATTATTCGCAATCTTTTCAAAAAATCTATTTATTTATACTTTGATTTAAATCTAATATTCAATTCATAAGCCATTTAAATTAAAAGCTATTTAGCATTTTTATTGTTTCGTAAAAACTATTTCAAAGACATTTGACAAGTTTGATGGCAACACTTTATGATAACTGTATTATTATATGAATTGTTTAACTTTTTATTCCATAACACTATTGTTTGCATATCATTAGAAATAGTTGCCAAAAGTGAAGGTTAATATTTGGTTTAATAAACACCATTCAGTTTGATTGTTTTCAAAACATACTATAAATAAACAATATATTTATAAATAGGTTGGTATATGTAGTATTTTATAGTATTTATAAAATAATTTCGTGACAAATGTCAAAATGATTTTCACTCAAACCGTCGAAAACTCTTTGAAACAAATGCTATATAAAAACACTAAAACAAAAATATTAAAACAAAAAATATCATAATATTTTTATTTTACAACATTTTGGACTTTAATAGTCATTAAGTTCTTAACATTTACTATAAAATGACTGAAAATAATAGTAAATTATATGATAAGAGACTTATAAAAGACTGGTAATTATGTTGTGTTTTTAATTATAGTGTTTGCATATTTAAAATTCGAGACAATTTTCGTTAAATATCATTAATTTTTGTCTCTTAAGTCATATCAAAAGGATTAACGAGAATATTATGATTTACTTGACTTTTAAAAGGGCCTCAAATTTCTCAGTAATAACCGAAGCATTCATATCAATCACTAATGCAATCATTATAAATGTTAAGCAATGATAAAATAATTTGATTGCTATTCTGCGCTAATATTAATATAGCGTTTATATCTAAATGAGTGCTCATTCCGATAATTCACTCGTAAACTAAACTCAATAGTTTTCATTAAGAAACATTTTACTATTGAGTAAAAAATATTGTTTAGCTGTGAGTGATTTGACATTAATACTGGAAATAAACTCTAAAAACGTATTGATTTATTGAACGGATATAATATTTTCTTGTTGAATATCCCACCGAAACTCGAATTTCAACTCTATTTAAAGTTTGCAAAAGTGGCAAAAGTTGACTATTGCTAACCCTGGTCAGTCGTTACTTACAATCCTTTGAGTAATATTCAATTTAAACTTTTGTAACTTAAGACTTGTGACTTTAAAAAACTAATTATAGTTTTATTTAATTCTGTAATAACATTAATAATTTATTTTTTATGTGGCAATAAAGCAGTGAAACTTGAGTGAATTTTGAAAGAATTGAATAAACTTTGAATTCCTACTGATTGTGAGTACATATAAGTGAATAAACAAATATATAATCCAAATATAAAATCATTAATCATTAAAAGCTATTAAATTAAGGATTGGCTTAATGTTCGTCACATTCTTGCGCTCAAATCTACCCCTAAAGGCATAAAGTCTTGACATTTGGACTGAATTTCAAATTAATTTAACATTACTTTTGGTTAAGACGTGAATATCTATGCAATACTCGCAATACATTTGCGATGAAAAAAGTTTGAAAGACTTGTTTCGAGAAGTTTTTGGTTTTCATTAAATATACATCAATTGAATAGAGTATTAGTGCCTCTCATTGAGGGATAGGTAGAGAGGTATTGGAGGGACAGGTAGAGAGGTATTGGAGGTATTGGAGTGACTGTAAGGGTGAGGGGACTGGCAGTAGGACTGGCTGTAGGACTGGCTCCCATTAACTGTAAATAATGGCTGCGAGCTATGAATGAGTGCCACAAATGAAACATGAAATCCAG